GATATCGAAGAGCCTATTACACGAGGGATACGTTGATTGCATTACTCCAATGCAATCATTCGCATTTAATGATCATGTGTTGGCTTGGACGTCCATAACTTAATTTTTTGTAAGGACTAATTTTTGTAAGCCTTTTGGTTCTCAAATGTGTGGTTGAAATTGCTATATTTGTTTAGGTACTATCGGATAGGCCGTAAGCTTTGTTTTTATAGGTAGAAAATCTTTTAGAGGATGACAGGTAATACTTAGCTAGGTAGCAATATTAATTAATAAATGCATACGCACATTATAGAATAGAAGGTAAAGTTTGTTTTTAAATCTTGACCGCTGAAAAGTTGGTTCATATTGTACGTATGTCTATCAAGAGTTATAGTCATGTATGGAGTTCATACATTCATGGTTACTTCGTAGAAATACAAGCGTGGTATGTGTGATTAATTTTACCGCCTAGACACAATGATTCTGAACATTTCTTTGCCGCCTCATGTCTTTGGTAAGCCCTAGACATTGTGTGGAGATGATAAATGATGTATAGAATAAGATGAAAGATTTAACCTACTCAGACTTTAGACTCAGACTAGGCATTGTAGTTTCGTCGTAGGCTTTACTTTGGGTGGTGTTTCTAGAATATTGCTTTGAACATAATAATTTCTAGCTGAAAATCCTTTACAAATTGTGCGGATATTCTTGATCTTAGTTACATTTTATACACAGGAATCTTGAGCTGCGGAACACGGAGATTGGTGAATAATTGAATTATACACATAATGGAAGGGAGTTAAGCAAGTTAATTAAATAATTCAACTAAAACCAGATACAGTGCCAGCTCAAATCTGAAATTGTGACTTCAAGTATTCACAAAATCGTAAAACATTACCGGAGCCCACAGGGAAATCATATAAAGTACGTTTCTAATTGTTCTACAGAAATGATAACCCGCATCCCTCAACTAATTTTGTTAACGCCAAGAGCAATTGTTCTAGTACAAATGTTAGGACGTTTATGAAACTTCAAATATTTCAACGTAATTTCTTGTAAGTGTAACAACACTAATATTATAGTCACTTACCCGAAATCATAACAAGGACATGCAAGAATCATCCTATTCTTTTAAGCAATACCTCTCAAATTTCTGTGGCATAAACGGTGTCCTATAATTCCTACGGGCGACAGTACCCTATGTAACTAAGGTTGCCTAATTTTACACACTCGGTTAACTCGTAAACTCGGTTGTACGGTAATAACTAGAGAGAAAGGATTTCGTACCTTTTAAAAAGGGTAATTATTTTAACATAATAATGATGATGTCGGATAAAGTATTTATAAACTTAGTTCTCTCATAAGTTATTTAATAAATAGATTATTATTATACTATTAAGGCCTGTGCAAACTACTATTTACACCTAATGCACATATGCAACACATTTCAAACCAATGTACATACAATTGTGCATTCTACATAACATAACAACATAACAACATAACATCACGACTTTTATCCCCGAAGGGGTAGGCAGAGGTGTACATTATGCCACTGTACAATGTATCGCCCACTTTTCACTATTTATGTTATGAGTCCCATGTAATAGGGGGTGAGCCTATTGCCATATACCGGGCACAATTCCAGACTCCGTGCTACTACTGAGAATTTATAAAAACCCAGTAGTACTTCGCCCGACCCGGGAATCGAACACGAGACCCCTTGACCGGTAGTCGCACTTGCAACCACTCGGCCAACGAGGCAGTCAGTGTGCATTCTAATGTTAAGTAATATTTATAAGAGTTCGACACTCGATTCTTTAGTAAAGTGTTAAACTGCTAACATTATCTCTTTGTTTTAAATCTCCCAATAAACAACAGGAGACTCGTTCTTTCAAGCGGGTACAAACAACACGAGAGTCGGCGCCAGGAACCCTGCACAACCCCTTTGGGAAACCACGGGCGATGTTATGTTCAATTATAAACACCTACTGTGAATCGTAGGTAGTGATAATTTATTCAATCTACTAATTGATTACTACATTACCCGGGTTAGCCAGTCTGTTTAGACGATGCAGAGGTCATTATCCCAGCTTCCTTTGAATACACATACCGTATTTAGTAATTATTCACAGCGTCTGATTGCTGCTTAGAAGTCGAGAATTATTCAACCAGTGGCTGTTTGCTGTAATTATTTGTGGTCAAATCGTGAAACGTGCGTGATAGAGATAAAATCTTTGATAAGTTTAGGACGTAAGTTACCTATAATAATTTAGGGTTTTCTGTGGTTTTTAAAAGTGACTACCAGCTAATAATATTGTTATGGGCTTGAACAGGTACCTTGTTAGCGCTACAAAGAATCGATTTGTTCTATGTAATAACAACAAATAAATCTTTGAGCTGTCTTAAGAAATTCTAGATGTAGGAATCCAAAATACTACACAAATATTTATGTTCAGTCATTTAAGCGACGCCGACGCCTAGCTTAGTTCACTACATAAAACATGTTCTGTAATAAAATTCCGAACTGACTTGAGCGTAATAAAACATGTATTACAGAAAACATGGCTGACATAAACACAGTTATTTTTAATTTCGTTTGTCTCCGACTGCGAAAATCAAATTAAGTACTTAAATAGGTAGGTAGGGAGAAAATCCTTGTTGTAGGGAAAAGGCGAATATTCTGTCAAAACAAATTGTGCGTAATCTTTGGGCGACCACCACCCCGCAAAAAGGTGAGTTTCCTCCATTATGAATAACTTCCACAGCGTTCATCTAATTTAACTTGTAAACATTACAATTTAGTCGCCCATCTCGACTTGATGCCTCCAAAAGTGCTATTCGCTACCTTTATTACCGGAATTTTTATTTCGTATCTCGCTTTTTGTTCGCTTGTTATTTCTTTATGAGTAACCTCGTTTACGCTTACGAAAGCTGCGAAATAAATTTTAATAGTCGTTTTAAGTAATATAAAGATGGATTTGTATTTTTTGTTCAGTTCTAGTTTTATTAGATTTATTTTTTCTATCTGATAAAATAAACCAGAGCCAGTTATAAATGAAGTGTACACAAATCTGACGCATATTCAGAACTAATCATGCACTGTAAGAATAAAAACAGAGCGGACGTGAATAAATAGCTATTTTAGATTTTTCTGCAAAAATTTAGAAGCATACAGAGTATTCAGTTTTCAAAACAAGCAAGGCAGCTGTGGTTTTAATGACGTCAGTGTTACACCGAAGCATACATTACAAAGTAGCTTTCACCCAACCGAACGGTTTAGCGTTCAATTGGATACTGGAAATACCTTTTGTGCAAATTGCCCTTTACCCAGGTCTCTTACAATGTGACCGACGCGAGCCAGCATTCGGCTAACATTGCAGTTAATGGTGTAATTGCATCCGTTACAGACGGTGTGCTGCATTGCCTCTGTGAAGGCGCATTGTTAGTTCGACGATTGGCCCCCAGTTCATGATGAACCTTTAGATTGTCACCTTTGTTGATTGGATCATGTTCTCTGGTAGCGTCCGTTAAGAAAACGAACAAAATGAGCTGCTAGATTTTATTTTTTGTTACACCTTCGTGTGAAATTTGAATTTATGCACGATTTCTGTTAAACATAAGGGACTAATTTTTTTTATGGCATAAGCCGGTAAACGAGCAGATGGATCACCTGTTGGTAAGCAATCGGCGTCGCCCTGATGGTAAGCAATCGGCGGACACCTGGAACAACAGAGGCGTTAAAAGTGCGTTACCGGCCTTTTGCGGATTAGGAGTTTGAGGATCGTTGGGGATTCAGGGATTGGAGAGATTGGGGCAAGGGAGGGTAATTGGGCCTTCGGCAACCTCACTCTCACGACGAAATACAACGCGAGCATTGCTTCACGTCGGTTTTCTGTGAGGCCGTGGTATCACTCTGGTCGAGCCGGCCCATTCGCGCCGAAGCATGGCTCTCCCACACTTAAACTAATGCTATAAAGTTATAATTTATTTAAGATTCACAACTTGTAATCCTTTGTTTTTAATGTGCTTTGTATGATACTTAAGCTACATACATTACTTGAATCAAAACACGCCGATCACGGTATTGAAATTGACAAAACTAAAAGGTTTTATTTACAGCAAAGGAACTGTTTGCAAAAATAACACTACTCCCTACAGGGAATTCGGAATCAAGATCGTAAACTGTCTATTGAAACAGGCGATACCTTTTGCCGTTAGTCGTGGCTTACGTGTGGTCGGCAGATGGCAATATTGGCTATCTCTATGCAACGAGGCACCTACAAACATTACGGTCTGCCAGCACGTTGCATTCCATTTAGCTAAACCGAATGAAATGTTTTTGATACACTTTGAATGACACCAAAGAAATATCCTACGACTATCTAATTAAACATTTTATTTTATTAATGTTAAGTTGAAGAGGTTCTTATCTTTGTCACCGAAAGCAAGCTCCGTAAGTTTTACTTAATAAATTGCTAACTATTTTCCTCAGTATTATATAGAAAATGATCTTAAGGCGGCTATTAAATAGCACATTAGTGAAAGTTAAAATCAAAAGTCAGATGCATTTAACAGCAGTATGTATATAGTGTGAAGGCAAGATTACATAAATTCAATTTGGGCACCTCAGAGAGCTTTGCAAATTGCCTCGTCGGCCAGCAAGTGGAGTTAACCCTTTGATGCTGATCGCTGGCGTCATTCCGTCACTCGAACACTCTAGAAGCTTTGAAACGCCCCATAGATATTCAGTCAAAGTAAGCCACGTCACGTTCGAAGGGGAATTTAAAATTCTCAATAGACATTTGCTGGACGAACGCTAGACCACTTTGAAATTTTAAAGCGGACTAAAGTGAACCTGGAATCTAGTATTAGAACTTTTATCAGAGGAGAACTCAAATTGAAAGCAAATAAATAAAATCTTTTTAATAAATGAATGTGTACAAAATTGATTTTTTGAAGTAATAACATTATACAAACCCTTGTCATGAAAAATATTATTTTTATTACGATTACCGTAATCACAAGACAGTCACTGTATCAGCGGTAGCATAGACAACTCTCATGGTGTTCGTGAATCCGGTTCCTTGTCTCCAACCAGAGATAATGACCATCGGATCTCCAATTCTAACGAATCCTCTCTCAATAGACCATTTGATTGCGAAATTCACACGTTTTTCAAGATCTGAAGCCCAGTCAGTCTCCGGTTCATCTAAAATTGAGTATATTTTTATTTTTAAAACATGACTTTACTGCGTCCTAGAATTCTCTAGTATATGTAGTGGGTCCTTTTACAAATATAAATGTCACAGACTCATCAAATACAGACTCGGAACAATATTTTATAGATTCAAAGATTTATTCAATCGGTGTAGGAATCGGATTCGCGACACGTTGTGTTAGTTGTCCAGACACTGCGCTAACAATGCAGCATAATAATATGACTTTTTAGGTTCTTTAGATTTTTGAAATATCTAATGGAAATCATATCTGAATTAAGTGTTAAATCAGAGTTTGTGTTTGTGTGGCAATAGCCTCGAGTAACAAATAAATAAAAATAAAAAGCCATTTTTTGCTCGGAAAAACTTAAGACGGTTAAAATTTTGTTACGATAAAAAGAACTTTTTCTTATAGAAAGATTATTTAAGACATGTAATTGTAACATACCTACATTAATCACAATTTTGTAAAATTACCTTCATAAATTAGCGGTACGATACCCCTCCACATGTGCAGTTGTCGAGCCACCAATGCGTACCTAGTTACCGCTATCACTGGGCATCTAGGCTTGAATTTGGCAACAGTCTGAGCAGATTTACCAGAAGTAGTTACTACTACAATGGCTGCGGCTATTGACCTTTGTGCTGCCAACACTCCTGCCATAGCCGCACCTGTTGCCTGGTCACAGGGCAACGGCGTCTGTGAAGTGAATGATAAATAATATAAATTATTTCAAATTTTGTCTGTGTCTATATAAAAGAAAGTAGAAGGTGTGGTTGATATTTGGCTAAGGCTTAGATTTATTAGTAAGACTACTTTTTAGATTAAGATAATGACAAAGTGGAGGACATGCAATAAATTCACTTCTGTTAATTTCCTCAGAAAGTAACCTTAATGATTAATAGTATAATAATAAAATAAAACTAAATTAAAATGTAATTACTTTGTCAATAAAATCATAGAAAACTTGTTTAGTCCAAATACAAGCTTCAGCTTCTTTGCAAGCGCTACACATGACGGCGACGGTTTCTACAGGATGTGTTCCAACTGAAGTTTCTGCACAAAGTACTAGGCTATCAACACCATCTAGGATACAATTTGCTATGTCGAGGAGTTCAGCACGATTTGGAATCTTTTTATCCCTCATGCTGCTCAAAATGTGAGCACTCACGGCGATTGGAACGTTAACCTGTAAAATTGAAAATGTTTCAAAATAAACACCGAACGGCCAGGAAGAGATGGTCTGTTAGTAGAAACTGGTGGTTACCGACGTAAAACTACACATAACATAATATAACATAACGTCACGCCTTTTATCCCCGAAGGGCTAGGCAGAGGTGCACATTATACCACTGTACAATGTAACACTCACTTTTCATTATTTATGTTATGAGTCCCATGTCATAGGGGGTGAGCCTATTGCCATATACCGGGCACAATTCCAGACTCCGTGCTACTACTGAGAATTTTTTAAAAACCCAGTAATACTTTGCCCGAACCGGGAATCGAACCCGAGACCCCTTGCCCGGCAGTCGCACTTGCCACTCGGCCAACGAGGCAGTCTAACGACGTAAAACTAATACCTATATAAGTTGTTTACATATTAACCCAAAGTCCATAGAGACATAATGTATTTTCTATTGTATCTGACAGGTATATATACCGACAGTCCAGTGATTCAACTTACTCTATTAGCCCTGGCTATCATATTCTTCTGTGCTATCACTAGTTTTTTAGGAGTAATGTCTGATCCCAATTCTTGTCTTGAAATCATTATTCCATTTGTTTCCTAGAACAGTAAGTAATATGGGAGTATTTCAATTTTTAGCTGATATTTTGTGCATAAATTTTATATGACAGTATTTCAGATTTATAGTCGATATTAGTTTTAGAATATCATACCTGCAAAATAGCATCGAAATTACGAAATCCTTCAATTGTCTGAATATTTGCTATAATAGCAATTTTTTTTCCTCTTTCTCCTAATATGGCTTTCAGTTCCATAATGCAGCTTGCTGAGCTTACAAAAGATGCAATTACAATATCGATCTGAAAACAGAAAAGAAGAAAACAACATATAACTTTTTTGTTCTTTTCTTATACACATCTTCCAGTCAGTCTAAAAAAATATGGAGTTTGGAGCTAACGAGGTCAATATTAACATAGGTTTGTGAATTATTATTTCTAAGTTTTACATAAAATCCCAATCTGCGTTTCAAAAACAATGAGAATCATTTTCTATGAATGTTTAAAAATTTGTATAAATAAATATAATATCAACCTGATTCTGAATCCCCATTTCGATATCAAGTTTATCCTTCTCTGTATAATTCGGCATATTAAGAACGACATTAGGAACGAACACGTCTTTAAAGGACCCCAAAAAGCCTCCTCTCTCAATTCTACAAGTTAGTGTTGTGGTTGATATCATTTCAACTTTCAACATAATCGTTTCATTGTCCAATAATACAAAATCGCCTTTGTTCATTTGTTCGGCAAAATACATGAAGTCTACGTAAACTGTGTAAGTGGAACATCGGTCTTTGTACGTTTCGTCTGTTGTCAACCTTACCACTTCACCGGGTTTGAGTTCAACAGTTTCACCGAAAGTCTGAAATTAGACAATGGTTGTTAATCATAAAAATGACCCGAGAAACTTAAAGAATTTAACGTTGCATGAACTTTTTCATTTCGTTTGTATCTGTAACATAGCAACCTGTTGAAAGGGGTCTATTGGAAATTGAAAGTAGTATGAACACATTTTCGGAATATTATTCGACGTGATCATCAACCTTAGTTCTCCTTGCCAAGTCCCTATTGTTGAAATAATACAAACCTCAGCTATGCGTCCTGTTCTTATCTTTCTGCCCGACAGTCTCATAGCTATTGCCAATGGATAATTCTTGCCCATCTTTATACTGTAATTTTTAGCTGCCGTTCGAAGCATTTTTATACATTCTGTGTGTTCTTCCCGCGGTCCAAAGTTCATGTTCAGCATCGCCATGTTCATACCAGCTGCGATCATTTTTTCCAATATTTCAACGTCATATGTAGATTTACCTGGAGATAGTATCGCATGTTTGATTGATTCACATTTCCTTTTACCGTTTATGTATACTTCGGCACGAATGGCCCGGCTCGACCGGAGTAATACCACGGCCTTACAGAAAACCGACGTGAAACAACGCTTACGTCGTGTTTCGTCGTGTGAGTGAGGTTACCGGAGGCCCAATTACCCCCCTCCCTAGTCTCCCGAATCCCCGAATCCTCCACAATCCTCAAATTCCTAATTCCCAAAAGGCCGGTAACGCACTTATTACAAGTGTTTGGTACCTTGGTGTTTCGGGTGTCCATGGGCGGCGTCGATTGCTTACCATCAGGTGATCGGTGTGCCGGTTACCGGCTTATGCTACAAAAAAAAATGTTTTACTGGCTATGACTTTAGTACAATCTTTTTTTAAAATTGAATAAATGTTTAATTGTTGGAACTCCTATTTTTGGATACGTAGTTATTATCTAGAAATTCGTGTAATATGCAAGCAAGAATATTAAATAAAATATGTACCCATAGAGGCTATGATTCCAGTGAGACGAGTGCATGCTGGTGGTGCTTTGATATCTAAGTTCAATACGTGGTCTAGAGGCGTGAAGGCATTTGCTGCAGCTAGCTGCTGTCCTGGTAACTCCATGGCGTCATACTGTGAAGTTGACAGCAATAGAAAAAAATATAATAATCCTGGTCAGTATATGTCCGTCTAGGTCGCCTTCTACCGACGGCCCCATTCATATTCGCTTTGTGTACTTCTTTCGTTTCTCTACTTTCATCCATCTTTTCTAAACCGACGAGCATGCATGACAAGATTGATGACTGTTGATGAAGCAAAAGAGGTATGTAGGAATCGTAGTAATTGGCGGTTCATAGTCTATACCTACCTCCATGGGATTCAGGCGTGAAGTTATGTACATATGTATGTATAATAATCCTTTTGAATAGTAGAAGTATCAATTGTGTTCCATATCATTGAGTGCTGAAGTGTGATGAGATAAAACTTATTATGAAAAAAGCAGGTGATGGAGCCCCAACATTAAATCTAAAAACGTGTATGTGGAGAAGAGGTGTGCTTTTTACGATGCAACAGTGTATCTTGAACGGTGAAGTTGTGGTAATTCACTAATTTTTACCTCGCCAAGTCTCTTATCGTGTTCAGTTGGCCAGACCATGATTAGTAGGTGTATTAAAATATGTAATAATAATGTAAGAAATTATTTAATAACAAAATTTTGTAATTCGTCAAAACTCTTGAACCATCTGAAACAATTCTGTATGAACGTTTGACGCGTTTGACAGAAGACATTTTGCGTCATCTTCATGTTATAATTACGTAACGACGCATAAAGGTATGAATTCCTATAAACAAAGACAAAATAAAGCACATCAAAGAGTATAATAAATATAGGGGTCAATCCCGCTGCACGTTACGCGGCAGCCGGTTACCCAGCCACTGCGCCAACCGTGCAGTCAAACTGAAATATCCTTCCAATAAAAGAGTGTTGAATTTAATTATTGATGAGCCCTTTTAGGCACATTTTTGTCTTGGTTTTTGTTGTGTTACGTTAGTAGCTATTAAATTAGTCATACCAGTCGAAATGATTAAAATAATACACTATTTCACAAGAAAATTTAAAATAAAACACTGCATTCGTAAGCCGGTTAAACACAAAACAGTATAAATTGCACAAAATCATAACCAAGCCGTTATTTACGACGATTAGTCTTTGCAAATCCAAATCCCCTTAGCGAAATCGTGGATTAGTACGTTTACAAAGGCAGGTGGATCAGTACAATCACAATTGGGGGTAATCTGAATGATAAACAAGTACCAGAGGCCACAGCTGCTAACAACGACGACAAAAATAAATAAAGCTCAGGTAGATAAACAAAGTCGAGTTTTATTTGTGGTGTAACCATTAGGGGAAAAGATAAACGTGTCAACATAGGCGAGATGCCTTGTGCCGTTGAACGTTTCTAGAATCGTCTTGCTGGGATTTATTAAGTTTCCATAATGTAGGATCACTCTTTACCATGGTACGATACACGTGCGATATGTTTTGTATACTGCATGTGGGACTAATTTATTGGGTGTCATGTTTTTATATTCCTAACAATACTTATTTAAATAACGTTTCTGTATACAGTGTGGTCTCAATCTGGAGATATGGAAATGTAGTGCAATATACATTTCTCTCAGTAACTAAAAAGACATAACTCTGGGAATTCTTTACAGTAAGAATGCACTTGCACAAAGATTTCTTTGTGGTCTACAATTCCTAATAATGCCGTCGATTCCTACGCGCCTGATGATATCACGGGCTCAAGAGAGTTTCAATCTATAAAATTTTCGTCCTTCTGATACGTAAACCTTTTGTATTCAGACTCACACCATCTCCCAAAGGCCCACATCAAGAGTCACAATGAAATTCACGAATCGTGATGCGAAAATATATTCAAGTCAAATATATTCCACTTTACGTTGAATTGGTGAATAGGTAGAGAAAATGCTTGCTTCATATTTTAAAGCATCGCAGCATTTTATATAGCAGTATTCATAAAATCACTATTGTTTGACCTATATATATATATAGTATTTTCATAGAATCCTCATGTTGCATAATTTCATATTGTGATTTTGAATTTCTTAAACCTTGCTAACATTTAAAAGCATTGGATAGCTTTACTTATAATGTAAATTAAATAAGTGAAATAGAAACAATTATATTTATTTTAAAATTTAATAAACAAGTACCACCTAAAAATAAATATTTATAATAACAATAAAATCGAAACTCACTAGTTTCGTAGCTCAATAGTAGACTTTGTCACTTTCATTTTTGCACTATTTTATTTATTTTGATCATCTCGCACGTTCACTTTTATCAACTTTAATATTTTTATTCTAATCACCTTCACTTTTATTAATTTCACTTTTATCACCGCCTCGTAGTTCTTCATTTTCATCTTCATTTTTGATTTCATCTTCGTTTTCTTCATCTTTTGCTTCTGTTTTATTAATGTCTTCAGATTCTTCTTTCTCTTCATCGTCAGTTTTTTTTATCTGTTCACTATTCACATCACCATCTTCTTCATTTTTCTTAATCACTGATAAACGTACTTTATTTTTTTTACGTTCACTGCGATCCCTGGTTTTCTTTTTCTTGTATGTATTTATGTCGAAATCATGATAAGATTCGGGGCACCTGCAAAATAAAAATATTGTGTTTTTTATTTTTTTCCGGTAGAATAGATGAATAGTAAGCATTCGTTTACAAATGTTAAAAGAGTTTGCGAATTCTTGTCGTAGAAAAAAGTTAATTATTACAAAATATAGTTAAAATTCGAAAAATAATTATACTTACACGATAGAGTTTTTCTTGCAAAGTGTGACATTCCAAACTCTAACGGTATCACAAAACGAGCTTCCTTCAGTCATTTTTTCCAGGGTGATGTAGTGGTCACCATACAAAATCCAGTGTTGTTCAACAGCGTACTCAAGTGCAAACCCGATCCGAGCTTGTACAGTTTCAAACCATGTTTTTTTGGATCCACCTATAACAAATAGGTAATGTAAATGTTATAATAAATAACACTGTCAATTGACTGCCTCGTTGGCCGAACAGGTGCAAGTGCGATTGCCGGGCAAGGTGTCTCGGGTTCGATACCTGGGTTGGGCAAATATTACTGGGATTTAAAAACAATTCTCAGCAGTAGCACGGAGTCCGGAAATGTGCCCGGTATATGGCAAAAGGCTCACCCCCTATTACATGGGATTCGTAAATTAAATGGTGAAAAGTGGGTGTTACAGTGTACTGTGGCATTAAGTGCCGTAATGCGCACCTCTACCTTCCCCTTCGAGGATAAAAGGCGTGATGTTATATAATTGTCAAATAATTTAAAATTTCTATTAATTACATTATTTCTATAGCATATCTACTTTTCACGACTTCTTTTATCGATGGTGTCTACCATCCTTCACTTTTTCGGCATTCCTTCACTTTTTAGGTAGGTAATACTAAGTATTAGTGAAGTGAAGGAATGCGGCCACCGTTATGGTTATTATCATTCACAGAAGAAAATAAAAAATATACCTTTATAATAAAGAGGTACAACACTTCGGAAGGTTTTAAGTAGCTTTATAGTCGAGGTTTTAGTGCTAACTGCAATTATAGTGCTGTTCGGTCTCAGCCAGTTCAAGACGTAGGCAGTGCGTCCACTAACAGTGGGTACTATTATAAGACGAGCATTCGTCTGATTTGCGACTGTGGCGCAAGATATAGCACAAGCTTCAGCAGCGTTTACAGGCATTTTGATCTGAAACGGTTGGTAATTATGTAGTTAAATATTTAAAAGCTAAAAATGTAAGTATTTTTTAAAACATGAAAATAAATTCAGTGAATTTTTAACAAGGTCTTTATTTTTTATTTTTTTTAAGGGGTGAAAATCATCGAATTGCTGCTCCCGCCTGGGTTAGGCGGGAGGGAGTATTAGACTCTAACTGACTAAAAACCACCCCGTTCGTTCTCCTGCACGTCGAGCCGGAGCCCCGGTTACCCGTTAGGTTCTCAGCGACTTTAACAAGGTTTTACCTGAGACACAAGTTCACAAAACTGTGTTTTGTCCATACAAAGAGGTTCCACACTGGCACATAGTTCGTTCAACATATTTATTGTTTCACACAAATAATATGTATTTGGTGTTTCACTTAGACAGAAGCCACAAGCTCCTTCCAAAATGGCATTGGTCACATCAGATATATCTCGGGTGGTCATAGTTCCAGAATTGAGCGCTTCTTCAAATATTCCACCAGAAATGTAAAAAGGTTTACCAGCCTATAAAACGCAAATAACGGTATTAGAGTTGCAAAATAATAACTGTTACTAAAGTCAGATATTAACAACAGTCACAATCATACTTGGCGGCATTTTCCAGCGATAAGTCGTTGTATAGAACTCATACGTTTGTACAATTCTTGTTCCACTTCATAAGCCAAAAACTCTCTTGAAAGTAAAATTCCATCGGCGTCCTATATAAAACAACAATTAACCATTTATAATTGTACATTTAAGTACAATAACTAGCAATAAATTTGCGTAGGTTCTATTTAAAAAAATATCACAACACAAATATTAAGGGAGGTAATTACAAGGTTTTGATTCCGAAGCGCTTAGAAGTCTCTAAGAGCTTCGGAATCTCGATAACTATCTAAGACGATTATTTGGTATTTGCAATATTTTTTTACAGACAATCTATCTTTAGCCAAGCGTAAAAACCTGAAGGACCAAATAAAAAAAAAAACAATTGTAACTATCTGAAATATTTGATATAGGTAATATCTTACTCTAACAAAGTCGTCTACGTTCATTAATCCTTCCTGAGTGGAAATTCCAGCAATAATGATAGGTCTCCTAATTTTCGTTCCAAGATATTTTTTTATTTTATTGATTGTAGCAACGTTCCTTGGATAATTTATAATAATCATATCCGTCTGTAATGAATCATGTTTTTAATTTTTTTTATTAGACAATAATTGATGAATAATTTTTTTTTCTTAAGGGAACGAACAGTTTCAAAGATACCTATATTGATTTGAAATATCACATGACGTCACATTTGAGTACGATTCATACTCTAAAATGATGTAGCTACCGTAATCAAAGTTTAGGAATGGGAACTCCTAAACTTTGACTTGTTTTATTTAAGTACTGTTTTCTTATAGGTACGACAAAATAAAAAAATAAGTGTCTTATATTTTTTCATTACCTAACTGACGGACTAATTAGATTTTCAATTTTCATACCCTGATATCATCCCTATTGTAATTTATATTGAAAAATATAGTTTATATGAGACTTACTTCATATTCTACAGCAAACCTAATTAGATGTACATCTTTTTTCGACAGATATGGTCGTGTTCGTACAGCGCCCCTCATGCATACATACGCCATGTTTCGAAGATATCCACCTTTAGTGACAGTACATTTTATTGAATGCTCGCTGCTCTTAGCTGTGCATACCATGATTATTTCTTCTTGAGAAATATTTATTTCCATTCCTACTTTAGCATCGGTCGTTAAAGCCGGATTATCGACAAATATTACTGATTCATTACATTTGTCATAATGTGAAATTTTATTAGTTAAAATAATTTCTGAGTTTTCTTTAATCCATAATTCAGCTAACTCCTGAAAATAAAAGGATTACCTTCAAGTTTGCGGTACTAGGAGTAACTCTGTATAGTTAAAAATGAGTGTGTACCTCTTCTAGGAGTCCAGTTTGTACCACGCATGTCTTCAATTCAATGCATGTGGCACAAGGAAATTCTAATAGTCCATGTTTATTTGCTAAAAATGATGAAGCTCTTTCAATATTGTCAAGCATTTTAGCTTTATCAAGTTTAGTAAAGTGGGATGTTTTCAATCGAGCTACGTTCGTTCCCATCTCAATTACTTTTTCAATATCAACCATTTGCATTTCTGGATCAGCTGCAACATATATAAAAAATATTATGTATACTTATACTATCAGTGAAGGTACTTGAGGACTGGTCTAGCTACTTTGGTCCGTGGTATCCTTAGGGTATCCTGTTGAAATTGTAAACTAACACCCATTTTTAATAAATCAAATACACACCAAATGTTGCCATTATAAGGCTTCTTCTGCGCGAATACGACGGTCCTAAAACATGTTTAGGGTCCGTAATATCAACACGCTCAAACTCAAGTTTATCCACTAGTTCATCCATATTTGTCTAAAAGTTCTAATTTAACATAAAATAATATAATAATATTACAGCAATAAAGTATTTTATAACACAAAAAGTAAGTCTATATAAAACATTTTCAATTTCCGTACGACTATAAAATTGACACTTCTTTTATGGCAAAAAAACGAAATAGCTTGAAAGAAAGAGTAATAATTTTAAAAAATAACATGCCAATATCTATGAAGTTTCATTTAAACGTTGTAAAATAAGGTTTTACACATAAACAGCGAGTCGATTTGGTTCTTAGAGTACCTATTAAACAAAATACTCTAAAATTTGGTTTACTACTCTAAAATGTTTAATAACAAATAGAACAACCCAAGACCAATAACTCTGTTACACATAATGATGATTCATATCATGATGACTTTTATAAATAATTTTAGTAAGTATGTATATGAATCCCAGATTGATAGTAGGTACTTATTAGATCAACGTTGGCTATTAACTCGCCTCAAGGTAAGCGATTCCGACGACGGAGTACGCCCTGTAAGTAATTATCGTACTGTAAGTAATTATCCTGCACTAGTAATTATCGTATACATAGTGTAGAAAAATAAGTGGTGTGACAAACGAGAAAAAAAATCCTGTTTGTCATACTGGTGTGATAATCTGGTGTGACTACGAGTCGGTAAGGCCCAGAACGCTGGCAGCATTGCCACGTTAGATGGCAATGCTGATTCGTTGACAAAAGAAAAGCGATAAGGTTATTATATTTGTGCCGCTGAGGGTTTCTGCACTTGCGGCAGCCGCCCCAGCACAACCTGCCGTAGTCAGAAGATGAGATGGCGAAGGGTATCGACACATGTTGCAAACCTTTAAATTAAATTAACGATCGAGTGTCCTCGAAATCTATCACTTTCGGGCGTCCTCGAAATCTATCGAGCGTTCTCGATCACTTTCGAGCGTCCTCGAAATCTATCGGGCGTCCTCGATCACTTTCGAGCGTCCTCGATCACTTTTGAGCGTCCTCTATCACTTTCGAGCGTCCTCGATCACTTTCGAGTATCCTCGAAATCTATCAGGCATCCTCGATCACTTTCGAGCGTCCTCGATCACTTTCGAGTGTCCTCGAAATCTATCGAGCGTCCTCGAAATCGATCGAGCGTCCTCGATCACTTTCGAGTATCCTCTAAAACTATCGAGCGTCCTCGATCACTTTCGAGCGTCCTCGAAATCTATCGAGCGTCCTCGATCACTTTTGAGCGTCCTCGAAATCCATCGAGCGTCCTCGAAATCTATCGGGCGTCCTCGATCAGTTTCGAGTATCCTCGAAAACAATCGGGCGTCCTCGATCACTTTCGAGCGTCCTCGAAATCGATCGAGCGTTCTCGATCACTTTCGAGCGTCCTCAAAATCTATCAGGCGTCCTCGATCACTTTCGAGTATTCTCGAAAACAATCGGGCGTCCTCGATCACTTTCGAGCGTCCTCAAAATCTATCAGGCGTCCTCGATCACTTTCGAGTATCCTCGAAATCTATCGGGCATCATCGATCACTTTCGAGCGTCCTCGATCACTTTTGAGCGTCCTCGATCACTTTCGAGCGTCCTCGAAATCTATCGAGCGTCCTCAATCACTATTGAGTATCCTCGAAATCTATCGAGCGTCTTCAATCACTTTCGAGTATCCTCGAAAACTATCGAGCGTCCTCGATCACTTTCGAGCGTCCTCGAAATCTATCGAGCGTCCTCGATCACTTTCGAGCGTCCTCGATCACTTTCGAGCGTCCTCGATCACTTTCGAGCGTCCTCGATCACTTTCGAGTATCCTCGAAATCTATCGGGCATCCTCGATCACTTTCGAGCGTCCTCGAATTCTATCGAGCGTCCTCGATCACTTTTGAGCGTCCTCGAAAACTATCGAGCGTCCTCAAAATCGATCGAGCGTCCTCGATCACTTTCGAGCGTCCTCGAAATCTATCGGGCGTCCTCGATCACTTTCGATCGTCCTCGAAATCTATCGGGCGTCCTCGATCACTTTCGATCGTCCTCGAAATCTATCGAGCGTCCTCGATCACTTTCGAGCGTCCTCGATCACTTTCGAGCGTCCTCAATCACTTTCGAGTATCCTCGAAATCTATCGGGCATCCTCGATCACTTTCGAGCGTCCTCGAAATCTATCGAGCGTCCTCGATCACTTTTGAGCGTCCTCGAAAACTATCGAGCGTCCTCGAAATCGATCAAGCGTCCTCGATCACTTTCGAGCGTCCTCGAAATCTATCGAGCATCCTTGATCACTTTTGAGCGTCCTCGATCACTTTCGAGTATCCTCTAAAACTATCGAGCGTCCTCGATCACTTTCGAGCGTCCTGGATCACTTTCGAGCGTCCTCGATCACTTTCGAGCGTCCTCGAAATCTATCGAGCGTCCTCGAAATCTATCGAGCGTCCTCGAAATCTATCGAGCGTCCTCGATCACTTTCGAGCGTCCTCGATCACTTTCGAGCGTCCTCGATCACTTTCGAGCGTCCTCGAAATCTATCGGGCGTCCTCGATCACTTTCGATCGTCCTCGAAATCTATCGAGCGTCCTCGATCACTTTCGAGCGTCCTCGATCACTTTCGAGCGTCCTCGATCACTTTCGAGTATCCTCGAAATCTATCGGGCATCCTCGATCACTTTCGACCGTCCTCGAAATCTATCGAGCGTCCTCGATCACTTTTGAGCGTCCTCGAAAACTATCGAGCGTCCTCGAAATCGATCAAGCGTCCTCGATCACTTTCGAGCGTCCTCGAAATCTATCGAGCATCCTTGATCACTTTTGAGCGTCCTCGATCACTTTCGAGTATCCTCTAAAACTATCGAGCATCCTCGATCACTTTCGAGCGTCCTCGATCACTTTCGAGCGTCCTCGATCACTTTCGAGCGTCCTCGAAATCTATCGAGCGTCCTCGATCACTTTTGAGCGTCCTCGATCACTTTCGAGCGTCCTCGAAATCTATCGGGCATCCTCGATCACTTTCGAGCGTCCTCGAAATCTATCGAGCGTCCTCGATCACTTTTGAGCGTCCTCGAAAACTATCGAGCGTCCTCTAAAACTATCGAGCGTCCTCGATCACTTTCGAGCGTCCTCGTAACTCAAGCATTGCATTTACAACCGGCCAGTACCTACTAGATAAGGTTGCATTATCATATGAACCACTGGACATCCACATAGAGCTTTAGTACCTATTTATTTAGACGGCCTCGTTGGCCGAGTGGTCGCAAGTGCGACGGGCAAGGGGTCTCGGGTTCGATTCCCGGGTCGGGCAAAGTATTACTGGGTTTTTAAAAATCTCAGTAGTAGCACGGAGTCTGGACATGTGCCCGGTATATAGCAATAGGCTCACCCCCTATTACATGGGACTCATAATATAAATAGTGAACAAGTAGGTGTTACATTGTATAGTGGCATTAAGTGCCGCAATGGGCACCTCTGCATACCCCTTTGGGATAAAAGGCGTGATGTTATGTTACCTATTTATTAATTAAAAGTAGAAAATATTAAAAACTCGCCAAAGAACGAAAGACGGCAAACGCCGATCGACTTTATTGGAATGTAAAGGTACTGCACTAGTAATTATCGTATACATAGTGTAGAAAAATAAGTGGTGTGACAAACGAGAAAAAAAATCCTGTTTGTCATACTGGTGTGATAATCTGGTGTGACTACGAGTCGGTAAGGGAGAAAATCCTAGTGTGGGGCATCCTAGTTGACGGGCATTAGCGATCCCGCGGGCTACCATCATCCCGAGTGCTCCAGGGAGAGGTCACCGTTCCTTCTTCTCCGGCTTGCCTTAATTGGCTGGCTGGAGTGAAAGATGACAAGGAACAGGTCTCCCACCTCTGGCTTGTCTTCATTGGCCGTCCAGAGTGGAGTCGCGAGAGCAGTAATCCTGCTCGGAGGGTAAGAAACTATTCGTAAGTCGCGAGTGGGCCAGGGATGCAGGAGGCTTCGGCTGGAGCAGATGATCTGAGTAGAAAGCGGTGGTAGTTTCTTAACCCTTCAGCCACTCACATTCTCGTTGCCCCTCTGTTGCTATATCTAGCAACCATTCCTGGGGCCCGGTCGGTGAGTTGGCGAGTCTCCGCCTGCCATTTTTACGTGTAAAAATTACATTGTTTAGGCAGGTGCCATAGTCATCCATAGTTCCCAATTTACCAGTCCACAGCAACCCATCCATAGCCCTACCTTTTTTTTCCATTATTCACAATAGTCCTACACTAACCGGGGACTGTCCTTGGGTGCATTTCCATAGTGCATACAGGGATAGTCGCCGGTTTGTGTGTCCATTACATTTATATTAAAGTTGTTTAAAGGGCCTCTGCGCAGTTGGCTTCGGCCCCTCGTACGCCTCCCAAATGACCGGGACCCTGTGGTCCCGTGAATGGTAAAGACATACATAATAATAATTTTATAATAATAATAATTTTGTACAATTTGTTCAGTAAAAAATTACTTTAGCTTCTATAGCACCAATTTGCTAAATCGAGGTTAAAATAAAACAAGTAGGTAATATTATTTTTTTATAATTAATTTAATATGGTTATACAAATACACCCAATTATCACTATTATAATTCATTCATTCGTCGAACAAACAGTTTTGATTTGAATCTAAGGTCGGACCAAATAGGATTTTGATTTTTTAAATTCTGTTAGTTATATTACGAATATAATTCCACAGGGAATTCTATTGTATGACTTTGGGACCCATCATTGTACAATCTTATACTAAGTAATTCTTTTATACTTTGTTCTGGAAACATTTATTAAATACTTATACAATTGATAAATTAACGTATAATTATTAAAACCCAACATGTTTTTAGATTCAAGTAAACACGTTTAAAGAAAGCACCTCCATACAATTTTTTCCAGCTTAAATTACAGTCAATAATGTATATCATTAAAGGGCACATCATTATTTAAAATTGCACATTTTAAATTCCTTCTTGTTGGTCTTGCTATTGTATATCTTTCTTAATTCACATCTGAAAATAAAACAAATTTTAGCCTAATAACTTTATACTAAATATGTTCCCTAAGCCTCAATCAAAACAACACTTTGTTTGTCACTTTGGCATCACATGGGAGAGTCATGCTTTGGCTCAAACAGGGTTCGGATTGATGCCACGGCTTCATTCACAAATCGGTGGCAACCAGTAGGTACTTATGTTGTGTTTCGTCATGTGAGTGTGGCAATTCTGACTCCCATTTCTAATCCCCAAAAAGCCGGCAACGCATTGGTAGTACCTTTGGTGTACGTACGGGCGTCCACGGGCGCCGCCGTCGATTACTTACCATCAGGTGATCCGATTGCTCGTTTGTCGGCGCGAAGTATTTTATAGGAATTATAAAAACATCTCACTGGATTTGGCTTTCCTTTGACGCGGTGACTTTCCATACTCGTACTGCATCACAGAAAGAGCTTCGTTCACTTCCCTTTTCTAGCGTAATGTAATAGTGGTTAAACAAAATCCAGCGCTTGACAACAGCATATTGAAGTGCAAAGTTGACCCTGTCTTGTACAATATCGAACCACGTCCTACGTGGTTCACCTGTTTTGTCACAAATAACAATTATTTCATCAGAAGGAGTCACTTTTACCAGTTATATAAGTTTTGGTATAAATGTTATTATAGGGACCAAAACTGTCATAATTATAATTTGCACAATAAAATTATAGGTCGTAGTCGAACACTTTAAAAGGAGGTCAAAATACAATTAAAATCAAGTTTGTATAACCAATAAAAGCAACATCTGTAATTTATAAAAGAAACTTCTCATTTTATATATCCTAACTACAAGAAATGTTTTAGCCTGGGTAAAATGAATGATTCAAACCTTTATATAAAAGTGGTATGACACCCCGAAGGGTTTTTAATCGCCTTACAGTCCTAGTTGTTGTACTAACTGCTAAAATAGTACTGTTTGGTCGAAACCAGGTTATGAGAGCGACTGTGCCCCCACTGACTGTAGGTACTATTATAAGACGAGCTTTGGTCTGATTTGCTATTTCAACGCAAGACAATGCACAAGCTTCGGCTGCATTCAATGGCATTTTCGTCTGAAATACATTAAAAAATGTAAAAAAATCAGATTTTCTTTATCGCATCTTGTATAATGAAATAGATTTGATACATTGCACGTATAGCTAAATTAAGATAATATAAGTATTTTTTAAAATTAAAACTATGGAGGTAGATTCCGTAATGTTCTTACCCGTGACAAAAATTGATAAAACTCGGTTTTATCTGTACACAGAGGTTCAACACTAGGACACAATTCGTTGAAATTTTTTATTGTTTCAAACAAGTTGTTCATATTAGAAGTATCATAGAGTGAAAAACCAGTTGTTCCTCCTAGAATGGCGTTCGTCACTTCAGATATTTCCCGAGTGTTTGCAATGCCAGTTTTAAGGGTTTCTTCAAAAATTCCACCAGATACGTAGAACGGTTTACCCGCCTGAAACAAAAAAATACCCAAAAAGCTGGTAACGCACTTGTAACACCTTAGGCGTTGTGGATGTCCATGGATGGCACCGATTGCTAAACCACCAGGTGATTTGTTTACTCGTTTGCCGCACATAAAAAGCCACAATTTTAAAATGATGTGATTGAACAAAACCTCTACGCTACCTTACGACATTTTCCCGCTATAATATTTTGCATCCAACCTATGCGATCGTACAATGCTGGCTCCACTTCATAAGTCAAATATTCTCTCGAAAGTAAAACACCATCAGTTTCCTGAAATATTTAAAATGTTTAGTATTATAATATTACCAGAAGAAATAAATGAAAGCGGGGCGCTTTTGAAAAAGATTTCGATAATAAATTAAAGTATTAAAGTTTTTCATTTCGAACCACGACATAATTGGTTTATATTATCTTACTCTAATAAAGTCATCAATGTTGCCGAATCCTTCTTGAGTAGATATTCCAGTTATAATTAAAGGCCTTTTTTGTTTAGACCCTAGAAGCGTTTTTATTTTACTCACTGTTTCAATGTTTCGTGGGTAATTTATAATGATCATGTCCATCTACAAGACATATTCAAGTTTATTCATGGGTTTGTTGTTTTAATTAATATGTGAATATTTTAGGAAAATTAAATGTAATACAAGGCATTGTATGTTATTATGCAATACAAAAGATATACCTGGTATTCCAAAGCAAACTTGATTATATGCAAATCCATTTTGGAAACAAATGGTCGTGTTCGTATAGCTCCCCTCATGCACACATGCGCCATATTTTGCAAATACCCCCCCTTGGTGACAGTACATTTTATTGAATGCTCGCCTTTAGCTGTGCACACCATAATTATTTCTGCATCGGAAATGTTTATTTCCATTCCTATTTTCACGTCAGATGTTAAATAAGGATTATCAACAAATATTTGTGATCTATTGCATTTATCGAATAATGCCATTCTATTAGTTAGAATAACTTCTGATTTTTCTTCTATCCATATTTGAGGTACTTGATCCTGTTGAAAAATTTTACTAAATAACAGTTTCATTAACAGAACGGAGAAGAACAATCGTCTGGAGGAAATATCTATAAGCTGTATCGCGAATCTTTAATCAAATCGGACGGATCGGGATTCTGGCAAACCCTTTAACGGATGGAGGCGTTTGTGTAGTAGTGGAAATATTTTAGTACAAGACGGTAAATAAAAATTGGGTTAAGACAAACCTTGATTCTTAAAATCTTCCCTTGATTTCCCTCAAGGAGTCCGGTCTGTACCATACTTGCAGTCAGGTCAACGGACGTGGCATACGGCCACGCATGAAGACCGTATTTTTGAGCCAAAAATGACGCTGCCTTTTCAAAATTCTCGATTAACTTAATTTTATCTTGTTTTGGGCTATAGATTGTATTAAACCGTATCACATTGGTACCCATTTCTAATACTCTTTCAATATCAACACCTTGCATTTCGGTATCAGCTGCAAAATGAAAGCTTTACTATTGTAATATTATTTTTTTGAGATTATAAATTATAAATTCTTATAACAGTCTGCGATTGTGCTCAGTACTCCTAATAAATAGAACTGCAGAGAAAAAAGACATTTGTACAAGTACACCTCTTCTTTAGTGAATTAAAGTCCTGATATATATCATTATGTTGTGTTAAATACCTATTGTGACCATTAATAAAGTTCTCCTGTGTTCATAAGGGGGTGACAGAACATATTTCTCATCAGTGATATCAATATTCTCAAATTCAATGTTATCTGCTAGACTGTCCATATTCGATGTAAAAATACTAAGTACATAAACACTAAAAATAACTTATAAATAATGTTAATCAAAAAAGAAAGTAATATAAAATACAAAGTAAGACTTTCAAAAAGCTCGTCCTTTCAAAAATGACATAATTTACGTCTATCACAATAAATTAAAAAAGAAACCCAACGAATAAACAACAATTAGAATTAAGAAGGTTGGACGATAGAAAAGTTGAAAAGCTTCTATTTTTATATTTATGATTCAATCTGCACGGACTGCACGGTTGGCGCGGTGGCTAGGCACCTGGCTGCCGTGCAACTTATAGCGGGTCACGGAGAAACCGAGCGGGAATCGAACCCCTCTTACACAAATTGTTGTTTCGGGTCTGGGTGTCATGTGCATGTGAAATTGTATGTTTATAAACGCATAAACGCATCCACGACATAGGAGGAAATCTTAGTACTACGGGGAAAATTATTAAAAAAAATCGACTCGATCAAGGACGTCTTTAATCATAGAAATTGCGTAAAAGTGACGTCATGTGATATTTTAAATCAGTATATAAGATATTCGTTTCCATAAGAAAATAAAAAAACCGTGTCTTATATTTTTAAATAATCTACCAGACAGACATTAATAAAAATTAGTCATCTACTCTATTAAGCATAAACAATTGGTATAGATGACGATAGATGGATAATATGCCAGTGTCTGAAAAGTATTTAAATGATAATATCCTTCCTTCCCTTTTTAAAAGGCCGGTAACGCACCTGTGCCACTGGTATTGCGGGTGTAATGGACGGCGCTGATCGCTTAGGTACCATCAGCATCGCATAAACAAACCAATGAATTTCATTGTGGAACTTAATCCAATATATAATTTTCGTATCTTTCATTTTGGTTGACTCTAGTTTAAATCGATTGCATTCGTTGGAAATGCACTCAGACACGAGTTGGTCTAGTCACCAACACAAAGATAGAATGGAGTCCAACGTGTCACCTCTAACGGTGACCAAAATTGATGGAGATAGAGCAAAAAACACTTCACAACTTACGTTTTCAATAAATCCTGTTTTTATAACAGAGTTAGGAACATCAGCAGCTAATGGTAAAGGCCAAGTAGATACATTATATTTTACACAGTACCATTGAAGAGCTTTATCTACTAACGTAAGCAATTTCAATTTTTCTGTTATTGTTAGAGCATTCATCTTGAATCTCATTACTCGTAGGCCCAATTCAATGAAACTATTTATATCAAATTCTGATAAGACAGCATTGCCTGTGGAAGAAAGAGTAAAAACACCTATTCTTTATCTAATTAAGTTATTTGGAGTGGCCTCAATGTATCTTCTTCTTACATTTGTCTTATTTTACGTTATCATAATATCGCTAAAGTCCTTCCCTTTCATATTGCATGCATAAGCATAACATAACACCGCCTTTTATCCCCAAAGGAGTAGGCAGAGGTGCACATTATGCCACTGTATAATGTAACACCCACTTTTCACTATTTATGTTATGAGTCCCATGTAATAGGGGGTGAGCCTATTGCCATATACCGGGCACAATTCCAGACTCCGTGCTACTACTGAGAATTTTTTAAAACCCAGTAATACTTTGCCCGACCCGGGAATCGAACCCGCGATCCCTTGCCCGGCAGTCGCACTTGCGACCACTTGACCAACGAGGCAGTCGTATTACAATATTTGGTAATAATTAGTATGAACATATTTAAATGATGGATTCTAAGAGATTATTCAATTTTATTATGAAGTAAGCCAGAATCGTGTCATTTGGCGTTCCATTGTGTCTGCCTGCCCCAATGCAAGTCAGGTGTGACGACAAACCTAGTTTCGTATGTAGCTATGAAAATCAATAACGACTGATTTCATACGTACCAAATGTGATAATTAATGGAGTTGTCCTATAAAATCGCTTTTTCGTATATTGAGTAATGACTGCTTTTTCGTACACAGCGCACGGGTCCTGGCATTTCCAATAGAACTTGGTTTTCTGAATAATACAAAGAAATTGTTGCCATTCATGAATTTAACATTAATCTGGATGTCTTTTATTTCGGTAGATACTGTGTAGAAACTACCACATCGGTTTTATCAAGCTCCATGTAATATGGCGAATCTCTTTCTGAGGTAGTAAAGACTGCTTTAATTATGATGATCAAGGAATTTGGAAAGATACTTTGCCCTGTAATATTATTGGATCACCATTTCCTTAATTAATTAATGAAACTAAATTATTAATATCTAAACTCTAACAGTTATTTATTTAGGTTCTCAACTGTGATTTAAGTTTGGCAAATTACACTATTTAAATAAAAATGGAACCACGTACGTACTTCTGTCATGATGAAATAAAAAAAAATCGCTTTAAAGGTATAAATATAAGAGCATAAATAAATAATACATTTTTATAATTATTAAAATGTAAACTCAAAAATTATAATAGCTCACAAAAACTCAAAATACTAATGACATTGTCATCACAGACAGTTAAATGTTCATTTAACAAACTTCTATCAAAACTAAAATGCTGCAAAAAGTATAATGATATATTTTTAAATAGGTTTACTTCTGCAACGACGAATTTTTGGTAGTAGCTTATTTTATTTGTTTATTGTCTAGTGATCAAAATTTATCCAAGATAGCTTAGCCCGGCTAAGCCCCCCTATACTTACTATAACCCCCTAACCCGCCAAAGAGTACTTTGGCCTGATGAAACCTAGTGACGCAATCACTGAACTACGAGAGTCAGTCGTGTATGGGGTCTTTGGCACCAAACTAACATACAACATAACATAACATCACGCCTTTTATCCCCGAAGGGGTAGGCAGAGGTGCACATTATGCCACAGTACAATGTAACTCCCACTTTTCACTATTTACATATGTTATGAGTCCCATGTAATGCCTATTGCCATATACCGGGCACAATTCCAGACTCCGTGCTACTCGGCAGTCGCACTTGCGACCACTCGGCCAGCGAGGCAGTCCAGAGAACATATAATTGGGTTAATAAACTATTCATAATGTTCCTAGTAACGAAACTAAGGTTTGGCAATTTCGTTAAAAAATTTAATGGCACATTTACTACTTAGCCGAGCCTCCAAAAAATCTCATAAGATTTTGTAATTCCTTAACGACATGTCAGCGTAAAATTGTTCAAAAAAAGAAAATATTTTATAAGCAAGAAATTTTCATAAAAATGCTTACAAACGTTGTCAACGTTTCTCGGCCATTCTTTTCTTATTTGTACAGTTAGCGGCAAGCTAATGGACAAACAAGGGTCGCGCCAATGTTGATTTTTAGTTAGACCGTGCAAGAACGCTTGTATCTTACCGAGATTTATTTGCGTCGCAGGCGTCTGCTAGATGTGTAACTTTGGTAAGAATTGTTGATATAAGTATCATAATTTTTTTTGTTTCAACAGCTTCAAAGGTTTTGATATAAGTGTTTATAATCGCCAGTTTAGGTCTGTTTTTTTTGTAGTATAAGCTGGTAAACGAGCCGATGTAACCATCGCAAGCATCACCTCATAGTTAGCATCAGCGTCACCCATGGACAACTGGAACACCAGAGGCATTACAAGTGGGTTGTCGGCCTTTTGGGGATTAGGAGTTTGAGGATTGTTGGGGACTTAAGGATTGGGAAGATTCGAGAGGGGCGGGGTAATTGGGAGTTCGATAACCTCACTCACACGATGAAATACCACACAATCGTTGTTGCACGTCGGTTTTCTGCGAGGCCGTGGTATCACTTCGGTCGAGCCAGCCCATTTGTGCCGAAGCTCTCCCACACTTAATAGTATAATAATATCCCACACTTGAAGACGTTGTATGAATAAATCTGTCTATATTTCATCCTCATTATACTATTACATCTAGTGCTTACTTGTCTCTACGATCAATTACTCGATATACTTACAATTTTTATTTTGCATTAAAATACAATCACCTTTGAAAAAACTCAATAACATGGTTAACACGATCAAGACCTCCACTTGAGACGAATAAAAATATTACCATAACCATTCTCTTTAATGTTACCCTTTTATCGTTTATTACCGTATAACAATGGTACCCTCGCATACCTACTCATATTAGGAATACTAATTACACGACACAATGTACGGGCCCCGCAGAAAATTCCTCTGTAATTCGCCTAATGTCTTAATTTTCACCAATTATCGTCATAAATATTTATTAAGAAAGTAATTATGTTTTAACTTTATTAATAATTTTCGCTAATTAGATTATCTTTAGGTGAATTTAAGTTATATTTTTTAAGCCTAAGGTACGTTACTGTGGATTTAATTTAAGATGTTTTGTTTATTCGAATTTATTTTTAAACTCCTTATGTCTTGCACAATTCAATTGTTATTGACCTATGTACCTCATTTTTCTATATGTTGACCTTTGTCTTATGTGTGTACATAAATAATAAATAAAATAAATAAATAAATTTAAATTCCATGTTCATTATTATCAAGGACTTACATGCTTGTAACGTCTTTCGTGTAAAAACATAGAGTATGTCTTGTTATAACAAAACTATTTTTATTTCTGACCCTAGTTCTGACTGGGTATTATTTCCATGGGCAAACTTTTGGACACATCCACTTAACAACTAAGAAGAAAATTCTGGAAAAGTTTGATTACAAGGCGGCTTTGGATCCCTTTTTTCATAACTACGATACTCCTGTAGGAATAAACGGTTTGATATCATCGGCTCCTACAAAAGTTTGAAGCCCTAGGGATGTCGGGCGAAGTCCTGTCTCCATCTTATATTGGTATTGTCCAACTTCTATTTACTTTTATATGAGTGCTTTTCTTCTTGGTTAGTGCTAAGAAAAGGGAACGTAAATTGTGTACTGAGAGTTCTAGATGAAACTTAGCTACCACTTAGCTCCTATCATGAGTTGTAAATTTTTTTATGGATTGTAAAGCAAATATAGTTGCCTATCGATGCTTTTTGAGGTTTCTCTAATGAGTCTCATAGTCA